CATTGGAACTAGATCCAGTACCTAGGAATATCAAACACATTGGAACTAGTTAAAAATGCACCACTTGGTGTACATACAAAAACAGATCAGAATAGACTTTGATATTGAATTCAAATGAAATCTTGAGCATACTGTGTTAAGGAGGTCCGATACTTAGCTTTTGAGCAGATTTTGGTCTGGGCCTTTTTAATATCTTTAATATCTGCTTAATTTTAGCAAAGAGTTGAAGATTATATAAAATTGTTTTCTTGGATATTATTTTTTTTAGTGCCAAAAAGGTCAAATAATTGTCTTTTTTAAAATAGACTTCTAGTTTATTTTTTCCATGCTTTTTTTAGATAGAAATATTGGAGGGAAATTGTTGAAATATAATCTCAATATTAATTGAGGTATAGGCATGCATATAGTTTTGACTGTTACCAATTATTTTACATGTTTTCACTTATGAAAAAGTGACTTCGTACAAGTATTTTTTATCTAAAGCACAAACCCTTTTTTTATTGATAATTCAGAGAATATTTTTATTATCTTAAACCATTATTTGAACGTTGATACCGTGAAAGATTTTTTAAAACTACAATCATAAGGAATTTTGAGATGCCATTTTGTAAAATGGCTATTATGGCTGACAGGACCTGATTCTGAAGGCCCAAAATCCCATTATTTATAATATAAATTCTTATCGTGTCAAAAACTTCTGTCACAAAGTGCACAATAGATTACCTATGCCATAGTACCACTGCTGCTTTCTCACGTATAGTGTTGGTTATCAGTTTTTATCTTTTGTTGGTACAGACCCTATTGAGTACGGTTCATACGTACATGTATAAGAATTTTGATTTTAACCTTACATTGTTAGTTTAATTTATCTTTGTGTTTTAATTCTTATATAGTAAAAAGGAAAAAAAAGTGTACAACATTGTTGAAACATTAACTAAACACATATAGAAAGGACTAAATATTATTTAGCTTTGCTTAAGATAGTGGAATATATAATATGTATTGAGGGGGCCAGTTTATGAATTATAGAAGTGTTCATATTTCGGGAACTTAATTTTGTTGGCTTTGAGGGTCTTTCTCACTATTGAATATAATTACATGGAATGTATATCAATGCTGAGATTGTTAACCCTAACAGGAATTCCAAGTTATAGACCCTCAGGAAAACCTGATTGTAGGTTGAATGTTTGCAAAAAATATCACTTTTTTTTCTCTTTATTTTGTTTTATTTGTATTTAAGGGGGAATGCCACACCAAATTTTTATTTTATAGATCTTTGAGTCATCCTTTTAAAACAAGGGTTTTAGCATTGAAAGGTCGATATTATAGCTCTTAATTATCTTATATGATTTTTTTGTATTTTTCCAAAGAAAATGAGATGTTTTCAAGTTAAAAGTTTGCAGTAAATGAATGTATCATATTAATATCAAAAAATATGTACAGAAAATTGTTAGACTTTTTAAATTTTTTTATAAAAAAAATTTTTGAAAATAAAACACCTTATTTGTGAATATTTTTGTAAACCTATGGTTAAAATCACTATAAAACTAGTCACAACTGAGGACAACATGTTTGTCAATCATTTTTTTAAAAAAAATTGAAAAAGAAATTGAGAAATTGTAGAGCTAATGTCGGCCTTTTTAATGTATTTAATCTTATCTGTAAAAATGTTCCAGGTTGCTTTGAAAAAGGGGGAAAAGTGTTATGGATAACCTTGTCTACAAAAGAGTACGGGACAGATTTGGAAACCATGCAGTTTAACTACTGTAAAATAACTTTTATTACAACGACTTTATTTTCCCGGGGTTTCTAAGGATGAGCTACTTTTCGACGATTAATTTTTGCGATAACCTTTTTTTTTCTGGTGTTAATAGACTTATACATTTTAATGACTGGTTCGGAGCGAGAAATATTTCCCATGACGCGAAAATTTCTCGCACGCGAAAAAAAGTTGGTTTACAGTATTCTTTGAATTAAATTAGAAATGGAGATCAGAATGTTTTTACGCTCGTCTGTATACTACAGAACATGTTAATGCTAACTGTGATCTAGATCTATCCATAATGAATGTTATAGCTGGGTTTCAAATATATAACATTTATTGAATATATTTTGTCATACCTTAATGGAGATACCCAAATATTAAAGTATTTCAACTTTATCCACGTTGATTAACCTTGACCTTTTTTAACCTTGATCTCATTGATGATCTCCTTTTATTAATGTCGTGTCAAGCTCAGTTTAAAAAACATTCTGCGGTGGAATATTTAAATATGAAAATCTTCTACAAAATCCAAGCATATAGTTTTTATTTTATAATTTTGTTATAAATCATTACAATTTAAAACCAGAAAACGAGGACCAGTAAGCATAAACGTATTCCCCATCATTTCCATTCGTTTTTATCCAGACCTTGTCATTCTTCTTCATTTTGATAATGGCTGTGGGGATCCAATGAGTAAGTCGACTCCCATTCCTTCCGTCGGCATGGTTGTACGCAATGACATTACTGTTATCATTCAGTACAATGTGTGTATTAAACATCTTCCCACGTTGTGTTAGAATGGTCCATGTAAATGAGTAGATACCATCCCGAGGGGCCGTGAATTTTTCCCGTCTTACCATTATAGGTATCAGAATTTTCAGTAACTGTTCCAAATACCACTACGGCATTATTTCCGAGGTTCTGCATATGACTTTCCATTCGGGCAGAAATGAGATAATATCTATTGAAAAAAAATAGCTACTATTTATATTTTAATTTACCCAAATTGGGGGTTTAAAATCCCCCCCATTGCAGTATGTTATATTATTGTAATTTTGATTGTTTAAAAAAATATTTTAATGATAAATACAAATTAAACTGATTTTTTAGTACATCATTCTTATATCAAAAGCTTAAAGCAATATGAGTGTATCTTGAAAATTTTATTTTTTTGGGAAAATGTGCTTTTATGATTAATTTGTATGTTATTAAACCCTTATAACCAATAAGCACAAAATAAAGTTTAAAAATGTTTCGGAAAAATTTTTGTACGACCAACATACAGTTTTTTTTAAAAACATTATTGTAAAGACAATAAATCAATTTTGCTTCAATCAAAACTAATAAAAAAAATTTCCATCGCGAATATGAATAATATAAATTTATAAATGATTTATGTTTCTGTCATTAAATTATTAAATCACATTTGCAATAAAAAATTTTCCATGTCAAACATGGAGCTCATTATAGACAGGAGTTTTCAAATATAAAGTTATGCATTTTATTTACAAATTAACTACATTTTCAGACAATCATGCCGATTCAGGGAAAAAAGTTTAACATTTTCAGACGATTTAAATTAAGCTCAGAACTTTTCGAAATTGGTTAAAAAAGATGAAATACACGGTAGATAGAAAAATTATACTTGCTCTTTATATTAGTTTAATTATTTTAAGTTTTTTTTAGATTATGAATATGATATCTTATTCATGAAAACACGGACCTCCAAAACATCAGATGTGGGATCCGGTGCCATGGAGGAGGGGCATCCCCACCCCGCCACCTCTTTCATGATCGGGAAATAAAAGGAAAATGATCAATTCAGTGTGTAAAGTGTAAATCGGCATTTTACTCAATGATAAATTGTATTTGCTGACAAGGTCATTGTATCGACCATAGAACTTACGAAATGGTAATTTTAAACGAGACTGTTGATCCTCTTGTTTCATCAACTTGTTTATCAATAATTTGCTTCGTTTTAGAAGTTGTACATAGGTAGATCATCTTCTTGTGTATCAAATCGACTGAGAGATACATGTATAAACAATGTATGCATGTGATAAAGGTTTATTATACCTCATTATAAATATTCTAAACAACGCGTTATCTGATTGGTTCTACGTTATCACGTGATCGGGCCGTAAAACTTCATTTTTCCCGACCGTCGGCACGCTTTTCATCATATTCCATCTTAGCCTGGTTCCCAGGCCTTCCGATGTGCACACATCGGAAGGCCTCGGGAACCGGGCTATCCACCTCTTCGGAACACCTAGTGAATTTTCCCGAAATATAGTTGTCGTTCGTTGAACGAAAACTCCCGAGAGTAGTAGACGTCACAATAGCCTGATTTACGTCACAAAACTGATGACAATGTGTTGACCAAAGGGTTTTATAGTAACTTTACTGAATTTGAGAGCGGTGCCGAATTTGAAAGTTTATGTTTATTTCAAAGGTTTTGCTTGTTTCGGTATAATAAACAATTCATTGATGAAAGTTTGGGGAAAAATGAAGACTTTTTCAGCCAAGAAATATCAATTCCCCCCGGGCGAAGCCCTCGGGGAAAATGATTTTTTTTGGCTGAATAAGTCTTCATATTTCCCTCACTATCATGCAATAAATGTATAATATTGCTGCAAAAGAAAGGGAAGGTGGTTGAAAAGTTAAAGTGATCACGGTTATCATAGAGCTTGGTGTTCAATTTCCATGCATTGACATCTTTTTTCAAGTAAAATTTCCAAATATATGAAACTAATCTGGAAAATATGGGTCAGATCCAGCAGCTGAAGCAAGCCTGATAGTGTAATATCCCTGCGAGTTTGGTCAACAAAGGGGTAAGGGGGGCTGTTAAAAAAACTTTCAATATATAGGAAAAGGTAATTAATGTTTGAAAAAGGACCCCCGACCCCCCCCCCCTCCCTCCCCCTCTTTGATGCTTATACACATGCATGTTATTTGTACCTCTTTCGTGTCCTTTACAGTTACTACTAACTCCTTTGAAGCCCATTCCACGACACAATTCATTATACGTTTTGAATTTGTTGAGGAAATCTTTTGTGCCCGATTCTGCATTAGCTCCAGTAAGCAGGAAAGTTGTAAGAATCAGCTTCAAAAACTGGAATCTGTTAATATTAAATAAAAAAAAGTTTTACAAACCATGCAAGTCTTGAACTTCAAATGCTATTAATATCACAGAAAAAAGTGTATAATGTTTTAAATGTAAGAAAGTACGACTTACGTGTACATTACTTCTCAAACAGATTTCCCCTGTATATTGATAATGTATTCAATGAATTTCAAGTACTATTTATATATGTATGTACGTACATTTAAAGTCATTAAAATGTAATATTAGTTGAAATATATACGAGTATGTATTGATTTTGAGTGTCATGATATATGATTTCATTTTG